TATCCTATATCTTATGTCTATTTGAGATTAACATTATATTTTCTACCATATTATTTGAATCTTTTATAGATCTACCATAATTAAAATAAATTAAAAATAATATGTATAAAATTTAAAATGCATGATTTTTAAATATAAAACTAAAAGGTAAAATTTATTCATTTATATAAACCAAACGAGTAATTTAACCAAGAATTAAATTTCCAATTTAGAAATATTAAAAGTTGTTTTAGTTATTATTTTATTTTTGTCTCTCTTTTAATCCAATTCCTTAATGCTTAAAAACGCAACAATAACTATTTTGTACGTTGAAATTAATGTTATTATGTATATAAATTGTCTTTATGTATTGGTATTAGATTACTGGAAATCAGATGAAAAAGAATTATATATTAAATACTTTATCAATGTTATAATTAAATATAATTATATTTTCATATATTAAAAATGAAGAAACTTGATTATTTTTTTTATTGACGAGGGACCACATTAAATAAATAAGGACCCGAGGGCTGGTGTATGGTTTCTTCGAAAAAGTTAATTAAATCAAAAGAGCATGGGTGTCGGCAGGAAAAATGCAGGAATACAGATTTAATAGTTACAATACAACAAGTTTAAGAATTAGTTATATATAATGAATAAGCAAATGTCAAACTAATTGAAGATATTATTATACATATTATTATATATATATATATATATATATATATATATATATATATATATATATATTAATATTGTTAGATATCATCATTTTACATTTTGACATTTAATCTTGACCTAAGTGTATCAAAGTAAATAAAAATTAAAAAAAGACTAAATAGTAAATGAGTAAAATAGGATTGTTTATGATACCATTTATTATTTGATTAGGAAAACATAGTTTTAAATATGAGTATTAATATAAGTCTCAACTGGTGAGCAAACTTCACTTGTTTGAGTAAGTTAAGTTGAAAAAAATAAAATTAATAGTGGGTTAATGTGGATTAAACGGATTTGAGTTTGATTGATGTGAGTTGGCCTATTTTTTTTAATCTTTATTTAATTTTTCTTATTCATGTATTAGTATAAATATATAATGATTTTTTTAATTAGTCCATTCTCCTAATCTACTTATAGTAGCAAGTCAAATTAACATAATCTACTTATAGTAGCAAGTCAAATTAACCTAATCTATGTGATGAATTAAGTTAAATTATAAAGTTTTTAGCTCACAGAAAACAAATTGAATTCAATTAACCGATTTTTAACGTAATTTATTGTAATCCTACTAAAAGAATCTAATATCCCCTTACATAAAAATAAGAATAAGGTTGTCTTCTTAAAAGAAATACACTCTATTCTTTTTTAATCAAGAATGAAATGTTTAAAGAGTAAAATCTTATTTCTCATTTTAATTAATTAATTCACAAATAAATCAGTCAGATTACTTAAAAAAACATGCACTTTTCGTAGGAATAAGTGGTCGGTCTTGCCCCAATCAGTATTTTTGTTTTTGAAAATTAAATAAAATAATTTTATAAATATTAATAAAATTTAAATTTTTTATTTTTATTTCTTTTAATTTTTAATTTTTAATAAATATTATACTTATCCTTTTACACAATTTTTCACTTACCTTTTTCTCTTTTGTGTTTCTATTTTCAGATTTTTTTTTCTCACAATTTTGCATTATACATCCATTTTGTTTTTTCATATTTATATTTTTTATTTTTATCACTCATTCATTTAGCACATTTTTTTACGTTTTCACACAACATAAAAATTATAAAATTTTCTCTTTAGTTTTAAATTTTTCTTTTTTTATAATTTAATCTCTATAACATAAAAATTATATTTTTTTATTCTTTAATTTTTTTTGTCTTCTATTAAAAAAGACATAAAAAAAGTTAAAAAAAATAAAGAAGATATTTTCTAATAATTTTTTAAGTAAAAAATAATAAATAAAATTATTTTCTTTATTATTTTTATTTATTATTATAACAACTAACATGTATAATATAATATAAAAATATGAAATATTAATATAATTATTTTCTTTTTTATAAATTAGTTAGTTATTTTATTATTTTATAATTATTTATTAAAATGTGAAAAGAAATGAAATTGAGTTTTAAAATTATATAAAAATAAAATTATGAACTATTTTTTAAATGAAAAGAAAAGGATAAATAAAATATACTTTTATTTTTTAAAATTTAAATTTAATTAATAATATTAATTATATAATATATTTTTTTATAATAATTAATTTTTATATGATTACTCCTCGTTTAAAATTACTTATTCCATCTTTAATAAGAATCATTGTATCTATTTAAATTTTCTAGTTTATGTAATTAATAAAAAAATCATTATAATTTTATATTTAATACAATTAAAATTTTAAGTAAGAATTAAAGTTTCTTATTTATTATCTAATGTTTTTAAAGTTTAAGATGAATATCATATTCTTATCTTATCTTACGAAAATTTTCTTGTATTAACTGAATAAAAATATCCTACAAACAATTCAATAATATTAAGTCGATATTGCTTCAAAACCGTAAACTTAAATTACTATGTTGGCTTTGAGAAACAATTATATTTTTCTTGAGATCATTGGACACATTTTGTTGACGTATGCATGAAATGGAAGCAAATGGTTGGATCCTGGGAAATCAAAATATATGTTTATTCCAAATCACACATAAAAATTGTTTAATTCTGAAAAGTTGAAAGAACTAAATTTTTATAGAAAGATAAAAAGAATATGACAGATAGCAGTAGTTGAGAATGATTTTCCAAACCACTTGATCAGCTACGTAAAATGGCAAATTAGTAGTTGCAAGGGACAGGGAATGCAAATATCTGAACTGAAAAGTGATGTTTGTGCAAATGGATCCACATGATGCAGTGGAACCCCATTTTTACTTGTGAAAGCAAACACGTCTCTAACCATTTCCATGGTTGTTGAGTGCTGACTTTGAACCTCTCTTTTGTGGTTCTCATTCTCAATGATATCCACGTGAATCATATTCCCAATTAATTCTGTACACCAACAAAATATTCATTTGCATGTTCGAAAATTTTTATATCTTACATTAAAATTTATTGCTCAAATTTAATAATTAATCTTTAATTTTTGTAACTTTTAATAATATTTATGATTTTTAACATCTTAAATTTAATAATGATTAAATATATTTATTTGTATATTTACAAATTTCACATATTATTCTTTTATATATTTTGTTATTATTTCATATTTATTTATTATTTATTAATAATAAATTATTTGATTTAAAATCAATTATTAAAATTCATATATATATATATATATATTATTTTGTTTAAAATCAATAATAACATATTGGTAAAATAATATAATATTAATAATAAAATAAAAAATTATATTATCTTTATAAAATGGAGAATAAATTCACGATTAATACTAATAAACTTATTTTTCATTCTCACAATTTATTCTTGTATAATTTAATTATGTGAAATAATAAACTATATAAGATTAAAAAATATCTCTAACTCTTTTATAATGAACGAATTTCTTCTCTGTATATAACATATTTATAACAACAATGTTAGTATTATAAGAACATTGATTTATGCATTAATTTATACATCGAGTTGATTAGAGAAGAAATCATATTAACTGTGTTAAATTTATACCAATATTTATAGTGAAATGAAATAAAAAAAATTTAAATATATTAAATTTAAATATATAAAAATAAAGAAGAGGCACAATATTAAAAGTTATTTATTCTAAATATTTTGAAATGTTATTCATTGATTTTGGGATCTTTCACTGTATATGAATGATCTATCGGATTTACATATCTTGGGAGAGAAGTGCGCTGAGAAATTGAATACAACGATTATATTAGGGGGGTTTTCTCTCCGAGAGCAAACACTGAAAAATTCAATAATGGGTCTTTTTTTCTCTAAGAATAACACTATATATGCTTCATCTCAAACTATTCTAAACTTAATTTATATTTTTTATATTTATTTATTTATTATTGTTCTTGATTACTGTTAAATGTTTTGTTTGACGTGAAGTTTATATTCTATAATACTATAGTATTTTATTATGTTTCATAATAAATTATTTATTATTATTTTTTTCTAACCAATCATAACTTATGAGAAAAAATATGGGTATTCTCCTCCTAATATTTGTACTATTATGTAAAGAAAATACACTTTATTATATTCTATTTTTCTATCATCAATCAATTTTTCCATAATCTTTTTTTATAAAACTATTTTATACTTTATTAAATAAAAATAATATTATTTAATAAATATACAAATTAGTGATCACATGATTCATAAATCAACATTATTCTCTCATATAATCAATTTTTATATTTCTCTATACAATATTTTCAAAATCATTCTCATAAATATTTCTTTAATATTTTTATAAAACTGTATTATTTTAATATAATAAAAATGTAGACGCATATATACAATTGTCTTTGTTTCTGTTACTTCATTATAAAAGAAATTATAATGTGCTTAATTAATATTTAATTTTGATTTTTAATTAGATTCAATCCTACGAAGAAGTGTAGCTGTAAATTACGGTAAGAATAAGTTAGTTTGAACCATTTTGCTTGAATATCCTTTTGTTAGGCTCTAAATGATACATGTGGAATGGACAAATTAATCTGTATATTTATGAAAAATGATTTTTTTTGTTAGATTTTTTGTTAGGTATTTCTAGGAACAATCAATAGGAAGATTCTTATAAATGGGTAATAAGTCAACCATATAAGAAAATATGATATCACTTTCAACCCAAAACTTTAAGGTTATAGGTCTTTTTTACTTATAAGTTACTTAACTTTGACATTTCTATTTAATATGAGATTTCAAACTCACACTTGAGTTCTGAACACTTTTTACTCATTTGATATTTATGTACAGTTGATGATACTGGTAGATGATGCTGGTGAAGCTTATCCACGCATTGATCATTTCCCGTAGAGTGGATGTACTTTGGCCGATTTCGTTATGCCTCTTTTTCTTTTCATTGTTGGGGTTGCCATAGCCCTTGCACTAAAGGTATGTATACCCTTGCACTAAAGGTAAGAAGACTCAAATCTTGTCTTTGTTACTAGCCTTGGTAGTAGAGCTACCGGAGGGATAGACCAACCTCCCAAGAAGCTAAAGCTAGTTAACTAGCTACTTCCAAGATCAAGCTAGCAAACAATTGTCAGATTTGGCTCACGAGCTACCTTTTCAACTATTTCTCCTTGGTGCTAGATCCTACTTGAAACTTCTCCATTATCACTATCGTATTTGTTTCATGGTGTAGAAGGTCCTTTTATTCGAATGGACCACATCTTAATCAGCATGACTACTAGGAAATGAAGACTGAAGGTAGTTTCCTTACCACCTTGACATTGAAATGTTCCCAACTGTGTCACTCTGGGTTGTTTGGACTCCATCGAGGTGCTACTAGCCAAGTGTATGACGATGGTCCACTATTGGAATAATAATGTTGTCTGAGGTCTTGATAATCCAACTAGTTAAGGTCAATAAAGAGAATTTAGCCTTAGTGGAAAAGTCTGAGAAGGCTAAGAAGATTGTTGAAGAGGTTAAAACCTTTGTTGTTGAGAAGTCTCTAAGAGGAGTTGAATAAGCTGACAGCCAAACTCCAATGAAAAACAATTGCAAATCTTTGATAAAAACTCTAAGATATCAACCAATATCAAATTTTTTAATGTTAAGATAAAAATTCTAAGATATCAATTAATATAAAATTTTTTAATATTAAGATAAAAACTCTAAGATATCAATCAATATCAAATTTTTTTAATGTTAAGATTAATGTTAAAAAATTGGTTATTAATAAATACTTGGTAGATGAGTTACTTTTTCTTATAATTTTAAATTATTGTATTATGAAATTATTTTATGTTATTTGAACTATTTGCTTTACACTCTTTTGTTTTTTTTTCTTATAATTTTAAATTATTGTATTATGAAATTATTTTATGTAATTTGAACTATTTACTTTACACTCTTTTGTTTTAATATCTTTAATTTTTTAACTCCTACTTGCACATACACTCGATCGTGTATGTATTTATTCAATAAATGTATCATAAAGTTATGTTATTATTATAAAAATTTTATTTAGTTATTTTAGATAATAAATAATATTACTTTTAAAATCATAACAGTATTTTGTGATTTTTTCTTTTACAACAATTGATCAAAATACATCCCAAAATTAATTATTAATAAAATTGATGAATATTTTATTATTATATTATTATTATTATTATCCAAATAAAAATTTAAAATTGTACTAAAAAATATTTTTTTAAAACAAATTCGAATTCATGACAGAAAACGTGCTTTTAAGCAATAGTACTTCAATTTCTTTACGGATATCAGTTTTTGAAAGATTTTTGTTCTACTTATATATTATTTTAAAAAATTCAAGATAATAATAATTAATTATTTTTAATAATCAATTTTTATTTTTAAACTAATTTTAATATATGTATATGATGTATAAGTAAAAATAAATAAAATGCAAAATTTCATATATATTTTATTAAAATTAAAAAAATAAAGAGAATTTATTTTAAAGTGTATTGTTATTACCAATTTTGTGTGTTTAAACGTAGTAGAATATATTCTCATCTAAGCCGAATATATATTAAGAAGAAAAGTTGTCGGCTTACCGAAGTGTGGTTAAGTTAACCAGAGTGTGGGGTTCTGATGGTTTTTGTTTGATGCGGACTGCTGGTGAGGCCCCAAACAAGCAAGTGCCACGCCATGGAATCGTCGGTGACTCGTTTGACTCGCTTGAGTTTATTAACACCACCATCGTTCACTCCCTCACTCAGACACACTAGTGGTTTGTTTCGTTGTGTTGCCAAAACAACAACAATATAAAGCGCGATCCTGCATTTGCGATCCCACTCTCAAATCAATTTCCAATCCATGGCGGATTCTACCTCAAGCGATTCTCTCTCGCTAGACATCGATTCCTTCTCTCCTTCACCTCAGGTATATTATTATTATTATTACCACGATTCAGCATTCGATTTTCTGTTATCGATTTACAACAACTAGAATGACTATAATAATCTGCTATAGCATGACAGAACTTACTCTATAGTCAATCAAACCTAGTTTAGCGCTTTTCATTCGCCGTTAACACTCTCCGTTCTATTAATTCTTTTTCATCTTTTAACATTTTTTTTTTTGGAATTCTGCGTTTGACTGCTACTCCCTTTAACACTAAGAATGGCTTCGGTTGCGTTTTTTGAGTCTTCGTGTCGACTTGGTTTCTAATGTTCTGTATTGGAGGTTGATGACATAAAAACTTTATATTGGCCTATTCGTAAAATGAAATTATTTTTTTATTGTGGTAAGAGTAAAATAATGATTTTTTTTTAAAGCTGCTTCTTCACATGCAATCTGCATTGTTTCCGCCTTGAAAGATTTTGTGGCTTGTTATTGGTTGCTTCTTTGCATGTGAGTTTCGTTTGTGATTTCATCTTGCTGCCCCAAGTGTTTCCACTCGCGTCTTTGGTGCACATGCTAAGTGCTCACACACGATTAAAGACCTTTTGTTGAATCAAATAAAAGTTGCTTCCTTTGAAAGGAGCTTCTAAAATGTATATACTATTCTTCATTGTCAACAATGAACTCAAACTTGCTATAAAACATTTTTCGCTTACTTATGTGATTCTCTCTTTGTTGTTATAAAAACATAAACGCAATTGTATATAATGAACACTTTTCTGTCACTTTCAATTGACTTTTTGTGTTGTTAATGATTAATATGCTACTCATATGTGCAGGAACATATCATCAGAACAGGTCATGGTTCTGTATCCGTTGCTGTATACGGAGACCAGGACAAGCCAGCACTTATCACGTATCCAGATTTGGCTTTAAATTGTAAGTTGGATGGATTTTACATTTTATGTATACCTCGTGAATCATCCCCTCTAATTTTTCATCAGAGCATTGCACTTTATTTGTCTTAAAGTATAGCTTTTATGGATTTATCTCTATTGCTATGTGAAAATTTCTTCCCAGTACATTTTAGTAAATTCATTTAACCACAGTTTTAAATCTGGTACATGCTGCCATTGCTATGTATCAGTTTTTTATAAAAAAAATTAAACATTTGCTCTTGCCGCTCCTGAAAATATATACATCTTTCCTGAAAATTCAAGGTTTGCTCCTAAAAGTTTGATGCGGCCAAAATCAAATCTAGAATTTCTTTTTGGTGATTTTTACCAAACATTGATTACTCTCAACATTTTTTTTTTTTTTTTTTTTTTTTTTTCTTTTTTTTTTTTTTTTTTTTTTTTGTAATGCACTGACAATCTAACCTTTTGTTTTCATGCATGTGGTTTCATCAGATGTCTCCTGCTTTCAGGGGTTATTATTTTGTCCCGAGGCATATTACCTTCTACTCCACAATTTCTGCATTTATCACATTAGTCCACCTGGGCATGAGGTTTGTACCTTGAAGCTGTAGTATAGTGTTGCTTGATTCTTATCTCCTTACTGTTATAAATTTCTACATTGTTGAATGTTTATAATTTACCTGGTTCCTTATCATCTTGTGCTTTCCTCAAGAGTTATTGCAGTTAGAAGCTGTTCCAATTGATCCAGATTACCCAATTTTTTCTGTAGATGACTTAGCTGATCAAATAGCTGAGGTTCTCAACTTTTTTGGGTGAGTGTTTTGCTTAATCAGAAGTTGCTTTCCATTTTCTGATTAATATAATTTTCCATGTTTTATGTATCTAATGTTGACTCGAAGTTCGGTCTAGAATGGACAGATTGAAGGTGATGATGGGTACATGCCATAGAAGCTGATATGATTTAACCTTTATTTGTTCTTGTTTTGCAGTCTTAGTGCTGTCATGTGTATGGGAGTAACTGCTGGGGCTTACATTCTTACCTTATTTGCTGTAAGTTTTCATGTGTATCTCTCCTTCTTGAATGTCCTTAAAATACTCACGGGTCTATCTAACACTTGACATCAGATGAAGTATAGACAACGTGTTATTGGTTTGATACTTGTTTCACCTCTATGTAAAGAACCATCTTGGACTGAATGGTTGTACAACAAGGTTCTATTCCTATGCAAGAAATATTGTGTTTTGTTCTAAAAATTAATCTCATTCTTTTCTGAAGATGTTAAAATATTTGCAGGTCATGTCAAATTTACTATACTTCTATGGCATGTGTGGCATGGTAAAGGAAATATTGCTGAAGCGGTACTTTAGCAAGGTATAATTTTTCTTCCAAAAGTATTCCTTATTTTATTTCCAGTGTGTTTTAGGCTTGAAACATTGACTTTGGTTTGCGGTGCTAGGAAATTAGAGGTGGTACACAATTGCCGGAGTCAGATATAGTCAAAGCTTGCCGAAGGGTTAGTCAATATTTTTCTTTTGTTTCATTTTCATGTAGGACGAAGGTTATAACTGATAGCTAGTTTTTTTTTTTTTTTTTCATGCGTCAGAGATTAAAAACAACAGGAGAAAAGAAAAAAAAATAATAAAAACTCACAAATTGGATGCCTACTGCATCAGCCATTAAGTGAGCTCAAGCAATCTGAACACTTCACTGGTAGCTAAGTGTTTGAAGCTGAACAATATACTCTTGATATTTTCTTACAGTTGTTAGATGAGAGGCAGAGTCTGAATGTATGGCGGTTCCTGGAAGCTATTAACCGGTATGATTACACTTTGAAAATAGTGATTCTCCTATTTCTTTTTGAGGGGGCGGGGTGTTTAGGCAATTGCTCTTGTAGATATTAATTATTCCAAAGTTTGCAACATCACTCAGAAGGCGGTTATTATAATTGCATTCATGGTTGCATAAATATGGCAGCACTTTAGTTCAGTGTCCTATGGATAGCAATATACTTATTTGCTTAAGGATATATATTCATTTTCATTTAAGGTCATTTTGGGATCTAACAGGAGACCTGACATAAGTGAAGGGTTGAAAAAATTACACTGCCGTTCGCTTATATTTGTTGGGGATATGTCACCATATCACTCGGAGGCTCTCCACATGACTTCAAAATTGGACAGACGATTCAGTGCCTTAGTTGAGGTATCGAAAATAGTTTATTAATTTGTGATAAGATTATGCAATATTGCAATCGGGCTTATAGCTTTGATATCTGTTGGTGGAAAAACAGGTTCAAGCATGTGGATCAATGGTAACAGAGGAGCAGCCTCATGCCATGTTAATACCAATGGAGTACTTTCTCATGGGATATGGCTTGTACAAGCCATCCAAGTTGAGTGTCAGCCCAAGAAGCCCCTTGAGTCCTTCTTGCATATCTCCTGAGCTTTACTCCCCAGAGAGTATGGGTTTGAAATTGAAACCCATAAAGACACGAATCTCTCTGGAAATCTAGAAGTAGATGAATAAAATCTGGGAAATTGATGCCCCTTCTGATCTGTTGATGTAACGAGTACATGATTGTATGGTTAGTCGGAATGAATTAGGAGTTGCCATACCAGATCGCTGTAGATAAAGGAGATAAGAAAATAAGAAATCAACCAAGAGGAAAGATATGGGAAGTTTAGTAGAAATCAATATATAGTCATTCTTTCATTTGTAATCAAACATAGATTTTAGTGAATGAGTCTCAAGTAATTTCATGTTTTAGGCATCTTATTCGGTGTCCATAAATAGAGTTTATCGAAAAATATGAAGCATTGTTGGAATTTAATTGGCTGTGTTTGCATTTGTTTCTTTTTATTGCCAAAATGTTGTCTTCTAAAGTTCAAAGACAAAGGTCCATTCAGGATTCATTCAATAGAAAAAAAATACTGTTTTGTTACGCCTCATTCATATTGATAAATAGATAGCAGTTAATTACGAATTGTATGCAACAAGGAATAGATAATGTTTACATAATTAGAAGATAACTGTATATTAGTTAAATATATAATTCAAAAGTATAAATATTACCTGATTAGTCAATCATTATCATATGTTTTGTATTGTGTACAAAAACCAAATTTTTTTATTGTTAGATTAAATTCAAATGTTCAAATTCTTTCAAAATATAACTGATTATTTTAACAAAATTGTCTTTAAATATTATTGTTATAATTATACTATAATTTTCAAATTTAAACTAAATAAAAAGATATTTTATGCTAATTTGATGCATTCAATAAATATAATAAATTATTTTAATTTATATAATTAAATCAAAGATGTTTTCTTGATACATTTACAGAAGTTAAAATACTAATTTCATAAATACTATCAATATCACTCCTTAGATATATAAATATAATAAGTACAATTTTATAAATAATTATACTTTTAGATGTTTAATCAAATGAGACCTGACATCATCATTTGTTTTAAGTGAAATTTATTTTACAATAATATGATAAATTTATTTTTATGCTACACTATAATTTTGATTGAAATTTAAGTTTATTCCTTTCATGTTTTCACTTGTATATGACTGGGTCCACTTACTGAATAGTCCAAAGAAATAACTTCTCTTGGCTTCAATTAACATTGTCAAAGTGCTACAAACTAGCAAGGAATTTTCAATCTAATATTTTGGACAGCCAAATAAATTCCATATTATTCACTGATATTCCATTTAAACTGCAAGTTATAAACTTTGGACCATCATCCATTATATGAAACCTCGCCTTTGTGAAGATAACCGCATCTTCTCATAAAATACCCGACTACGCACAGCGTTATGCACACTTCTGATTTCAGTAGTGTCAAATTTATAATTTGATCCAATAATAATAATAATAATAATAATACTGTCATATTGTTATATGACTTTCTTCACCTTCAATTGATATTCAACATTTGACTGTTCATGCTTATCCTGCTTTTGTGAGTGCACTCCAATCCTTCTTCATGTCTACAAGCTTTTCTTCTATTCATTTCAGTATACATTTCTTCAATCATAGGCTTCCACAGCCGGACACGTGCATTGATAAACCAATTGGATACCTGGTCAATCAACCATAAACAGCTCAAACTAACATCTCAAACAAGATTAAGTTTGCTATTTTTTTACTTTCTACAAGGTTTACATTTTTCATAGTTCCCCACTAAACCAACTACCTGGCTTCTTGTCAACCCACTTTTTACAGCCAGTAAATGCTTCTCTGCATCTTTAGGATACCTGAAATCCATCACATCATATCATATAAGGATCATGCATTTGAGGGTAGATCCATCCATGCACAACTATAAAATTCACTAAATATTTATGCTCTGATGATTACAGTTAAAAAGCTTATGGTCATGTCCTAAGTGGATAAATTTCCTTCTAAGTATTTGTAAGAAAAAAAACCAATGTAAAGTGAATTGAACTGCTTCCATAATATGAAAACAACTTATGTATTTAAGCTTTTCGAAAAGTTAAACTCAAGAACTTCTATAAAAGTCAAGTGTATAGGTTAATTTTAATTGATGAGAGAAGTTTAATTCATTATATCTTCTTATTTACTTCTTTTATAAGTGTTTTTGCAGAAATTTCCAGCAAGACCTCTTTTATAACATAAAACAACTTATGGAAGTTCTCTTGTTTAATGTCTCTACAATCTAAACGATATAAGTTAAATTAATTTTATACTCTTACTTTCTTTTTGTGTGATTACTTATGAGAAAAAGATTAGCCAAAGAAATTCTATATCTTTGAGTGGATAAACTCACGGATGGAGGAAATTCTGAAACATCCAAGCGCGTAGAACTGAGACAGATCTTTCTGGCAAGCCCCTTTGGGGTCTCCACAACTGATCTTTTCTTTTCAACTGCTGTAGAGCCCATTGCTTTTGAATGAATGAAGTTTCAAGAGACCATTCCTTCTCCTCTTCTGAACACAAGCTGTTCGAATCTGGTCCCATGGTAAGAATGCAATTGCTAATCCTCTCTCTCAAGTCCTTGTACAAGAGAGAGATGGTTTGAAGTGCAAAATGTGCGTGCATGTGAGGATCCAGCTCAGTAGCAGCATGGAATGCAGATGCCACAGTATGAACCTCATCCAAACACTGACTATATCCATTGTCCACCTAATAATAAAGGCCATTAGTCCATTATTATCAGTATGTCAGAAGAAAACCTTCACATATTACTTTCAACTTCTCACAATTTGTTTCCTTACACCTGGTTTATCATCTTTTTTCTTTTTCTTTTTTTCTTTTTCTTTTTCAATTTCTTCCTATATTCTTGAAACATTTCACTCTGGTCTCTTAAAGTGTCTTTGCTAAATCAAACCTGTGTTTCTGTCAGTTTAATTCACTAACGGTGTTAGATTTTACTAGCATGACAAGTGTTACTCTAATGTGACATCTCTCACAGTTTGTCACATGTCACTAAGTTAATCAAAGTAGATTGGCATACATTTAAAAAGACCAGCTTCGTGCAATAGGGACACCTAAGAGAACCAAACTGAAACCAAAAATATATTTTTTGCCTTTTTCTAATCCTTGTCTTGTCCTAATTACTAGCCAATTTTCAATGCATAAATTTTAATGTGGAAAAATGAAAACTGCAAAGCAAGCACATTTTAACATATCATTAAACCAGGACCATAACTTAATGTGTGCAAGAGGTAGCATTTTACCAGCTGTAGAAGCATGAGAAGTTGGGATTTGTTTGAGTCAGCTGCATTAGATTCTTCTACATGTGCTCCATACATGGAATTTGCATTTTGGTTATTCGCAACCCTTCCCTTTGGTGTAAAGGCTGAAGCTGATTTATTTCCTCCTGCTCTAACACCAGAAGCTGAGTAATTTATCAGCCCTACATTTTCAAATGAATATGTTGCAATTTGAGCAAGTATTTCTTGAACCCCAGCAAGATATCTGGACCCCAGTATTGCTGGTGAAAATTGGACATGTTTGTTAGAACCTAATCTCATAGACAGCTCCTTACTGCTGCAAGAAGGTTGCTCCAAGCCTGAACTTGTTCCATTCATGCTACAAGATGCGTTGGAGCAGCTCAACTCTGAGCACTGACCTGCAGTTGGAGGAGATCTTGCAAGACTAAGTGATAGCTCATTACTACAATTAGAGGAATTATAGGCAAAATTGGCCAAGTTTGCAACATTTGATGATGTCCATCCATTTTGAACCAGGTTTCCTAGGGAAGAATAAGCCAGTATCTCAGTCCCATTAGCCTCTGGAGCTTTCAGAAACTTGTTCACATTCCACTTATGAATACCTGATAATTCATCGTAGCCGTGATCACCAAAAGTCGCAGCCAAAGGGTTTGATGCATTTTGCCAATTATTGAAAATGTATGGCCCCAATGCCTCCAATGAACACATTGAATGAGGCAAAACTGCTGAACTCTGAAGATTTTCTTGAAAGCCTATTCTATCAGCAAGTGAAGCAGCAGAAGCAATTGGCCTTCCTCCAGCCAACTGCTCTTGAATGGCATTGTTGTTAATGGGATTTGAGGCATCTCCTACAGTAGTCTTTCCTTGTAATGTGACAAATGAATTGGAATCAACAATACTATCAGGGTTTATGAAGCAACCATCTACAATGTACATATTATTCTCCATCTGGGAAATGCAAAAAGAGGCACTTGATACTTCTTCAATATCCTTTCATAACAGCATTACCTCCGGAGTGGCTTGGCCGCCGTTCAAATTCATCTTCATCTGGACTAGTAGAATCTCCTTATCCCCTTTCTCAGAAGAATTGTAGCTGTCCCTTTTCTTGGAAAAATTACCTTACTCTCCTAAAGAAAATAGGTCCATGCTACAACAAACAAAACAAGAAAATAATCAGAACCAGGCAAAAATAGTAGTAGATAACTCTCCTACGTCGTCACCTCATTTATCATCATTCCATGGACCACTTACTGGAAGACGAAAGAGAAATTAAATAGAAAAATGTCTTTTAGACTTCTTATGTACACTGAGAAGAACCAAGTCAAAAGCATGCTCATTTGCAAAACCAAGTAAAACAACTTTCCCTTAAGCACATGTATAAGGAGTTAGTTACCAATCTGTTATCACTCACCGAAACAAGTTTATCCATCATTGGGATACTTCTTCAAAGGATGTCTAGTTACCCTCCAAGAACCTAGAAAACAAAAAGGAGCATGAGAAATAAGCACTGTCTATTCTAAGTTATAAAGGTTAGTCATTAAATTTTCCCTCAAAGATTATAATTTATAATCCATAAGCAGAAAGCACGATGGTAAAGGCTAAGCTTCAAAGTTCTTTATATAAAAAAAACAAAGACAACCATATATATATACACGTCTTATCTGTTCTTTTTGCAAACCAAAAAGGAAAACCAAAAGCATGGAAGAGAGTGTAAACTGTATGGAAAGGCTCAAGAAGAAGATAGATTACATAACAAACAAAGAGCAAAACGCGCTGTATGTTGCACCTAGTGTTGGAGATGAATGAAAAAGGTGGGTGAGATTGATGGAGGTCGAAGAGCCACGAATGAGTTAAAACAAGCAAGGAGAGAGAGAGAGAGAGAGTGAGAGAGAGAACACAGTAGACAGTGGTAGTAGTCTTTGGTGCAGTGCCACTCATTTGTGGTGCAGCCTTTAACGGGCCCTCTCTGATCTCTTTTGTCCTCCTCAGTCCTCACACCTAAACAACACACCTATTACTATTTCCATCACTATAATTATCATTTTGTTCAGTCACTGCAAATGCAATGCAATCAAAATATCAGGATTCTCTCTCATTTTTCACAGTAGGGGGGGAGGGGGGCCTCAGAAACACTTTGGTGAAGACCCTTTGGTTTTTTAGCCATTTTAAAACAAGATGCTAACGTGAACAGGAACATGACTCAAATGGGGTAAACAAATGCCAAAGCTTTCCCCACACAATGTAACAACAAAGGCACGAGGGAATTGTTTTGACGTGTGAAGAAGAGAGAGAAATGGAAACACTGTCATAGGGGCTTGTAGTGTAGCTGTTGAGTGTACTTTCTTGTGGATAGTTGTAGCCAGACATAGACCTTGTGATGTAAGCATGGCAATAAATGACGACAATTTTTGGCTGTGAAAGGTCCTTCATCATCATTCATGAATTTATTGCATCATTTAGAGAAGATACAGGATGAGATTATGCGTATCAACATTTGCTTTTTAAATTTAGGACTGGCTTTAACACGATAATGTAAAATAAATTTGGGAAACGTAACGAAGGTGTATATTACTTTATAATATTATATTTAGTTTTTGAAATTTTTATAAGATAATTTGATGAACTCTGATCTCACCTAATTACATATAAAATAAATTTGAATTTATTGCATAATATATTAATGTTCACATTAAATATAAGAGAAAATAGTATGCCCATGATTTTTTTTTACAAAAACAATTTAAAACATCATCATTTTTTATTTGTTTTAGTAAATACACAGAAATTAAACTCTATAATTACTAGATTGTAAAATTAGATAAATATATACTTGCAATTACATATATTTTTTTATAATATATATTTTAAGATAAATAACGTCAAAGTAAAACCATTCATCTGTTTTTCATAGTTGAAAAAGCTTTATTTTTAAATGTTTATATTTACAAATCATTCACTTTATTTAATATATTTTTTTTAGTTCAAATATTTCACAATACAGAGACTTCAAGAAATTGGAAATGGTTATACATCAAAATCTTTTTTTTTAAATTGAACAACAATAAATTAATTAAATGAATTATATTTTATTGTATTTTAAAAAACATATATTAGAACTATATAAACAAGTGTGTGTATTAAATAAGGACTACCGAAATACAATTTAAATTTTTTCTTCCAAACACATCGAAATAATTTAAACTCCTTAATTTATTTCACTGTTTGTTTTATCTTTTATACTTTTATAATTCAATAAAATGTGAGTTTTATTTCAGTCTACTAAATTTTAGCAAAAATTCTATAATAATTAACTGTGTGTTTTCTTTTCTATAACTGGTTTTTAAATATATTTTTTTTAAATCTCTTTATAAAAAATACTTAGCATGTAGAATAAAAGTGTTCTGTAGTTGTATATTATTTTGAAATATTTATAAAAAAAATATGAATTTAAAATAACCATAGTTAAATTGGCGATACTCCAACATTTTAATTTTTCATTATTAGTTATAAATTCAAAAGAAAACACTGTAAAAATAAAATAAAATTATTTGATAGGTGAAATAATATAAATTGACAATAAGATGGGTATCTTTTTTGCATATATTGTGGGATTTTAATTCGTGTGTCGGGGGCTTGTCCTCATCTACTCGATTCTCTAGGCCGAGCATAATAATATACCTACTTTGCTTTTTTTTGGCAAGTTATTTTCAATCGAATAACTTAATTTTAATAAAATATTTTCATACTCAACTTAAAAAAAATTGTTATAAATTACTTATTTTGTAAAAGTTTTTTATAATATTGTTAGGAGAAAATCGAGAAAAGTAATCGAAAAATGAAAGAAAAGAAAATCGAGAAATATGTGATTGATCGATAAAGCAAAGAGGTGGATGGGAGACCATTCGATGTCCAATTAGAAGGGCGTGGCGCATAAAATCGAAAGTTAGAGTCAAAATTGAAGGAATAATAGTCAAAAGCTTATTGTGGAACAAATCAAGAAATTAGAGGTATATGATGCTAAGGTTAAAAGGAATCAAAAGTAATTCGAAGTTCTCGATAAAATCGAAATCAAGGGGAAGGTTAACCTACGTGGATATTGAAACCCTGGCAAAATTGTGAAAAGGAGAACAGTCAAGCGCACATATGGGAAGCAGTTTCTATACCATGGTAGAAGTCGAAGATCGTGGGAACGTGGGTACAGTATTGAAACCATAGAAGATAAACTGCAATATGCACGTAGAACGTTGTAGCAGTTTTGGTAACTGCTCCTGGAAGGCTTGAATGATGACCTATAAATAGAGCAAAGGAGGAAGGAATGGAGGAGCAGAAAGTCGGCAGAGAACAGAATTAGTAGTGAGAAGTCTACCGGAGAATGATGAACATCATGAAGCTTCTGGCAATCTGGATTTCCATGCTCATCGAGTACCTTTACCGCTTTCTTTACTTTCCTTGGTAATTTATTTTGACGCATCTTATATTCAGCAATTTTATGTTCTTGTTCTTTCGATTCCTTGTCATTTCAATTCAATGAAAGTGAAGTTTCTGCAATCTTGATTCCTTGCCATTTACATTTCTGTTCTTTCGATTTCTTGTTATTTACATTTAATGTACTTTTAAGGTTTCCACATTTTACGGGTTTCAGCAATTTATTATTCTGTATTGTTTTTCGATTCGACGTTTCATTGCTTTCTACATCTTAAATATAAAACACAAAAAGTACCCTTTTCGATACTTGGTAAGGTTCGATCCTCATACGTATTTCGATTGAAAATTAATTTACTAGCCTAAGTAAAAAGAACTTACGTGGTAGAATTTTGGTTAGTATCAAAACATCTCGGGAGTCGAAATCAATCGAAATTCCACCAGAAACAAATACTCTATTAGTTGTAATAATTTAGTTTATTTTTTAAAATTTTATGATATAATATCATCTATAATAATATATAATGTTTTCATTTGAAATACGTAAATCATTTTTTATTTTATCTTTAATATTTTTGAAATGGGGGTACAAAATCTATTGCTTATTAATGTAAAAATAAAATAAAATAAAATCTTAATAATAACACAGAAAAATAAAAGACAAACAAAACTACGCATGAAGGTGATAAAACAGTTTATTGTTTTTCACGTGTTTTATCTTTAAATTTGATAATAATATTTATTTTAACAAATCAAATTTACATTTTGCAATTTCTCACTTTACAATATATTAAATTAATATAAATATTAAATTTTAATTTTTAAAACAAGATAACATAAATTATTTTGTTAGTTTATAAAATATTTCTATATCTTGATCATATAATGCAAAATGATATAAGGAAAGTTGATTTGTTTCTTCATTATAATAACAAATGGAATAAATTAACATAATCAATCTATCTATCTATCTTGTTGCTTTTTCATTCATGATATTACTATTACTTTTAACTATGCAGTGACTTCCTTAACGTGTGAAGTTTAACTTGTGATGACATCCAAAACAAATTTAATATAAGATACAAAAATTTTATATTAATAACAATTAAACTAATACATGTGAGATTGATTCATTTTTACTTTGATGGTAAAAATTTAAGTTAATCGGGTCGAGTTTGGGCTTTCCCGCTTTAAAAAGGTCAGAGACAAGAACGAGTAATATAATCTTCACTCGATGTTGTCTCAGTTTTATATTTAAATTTAAATTTTAAAATATTAATATTTTAAAAATATTTTCTTTTTTATCTATTACATATAAGGACATTTTTTTATAATTTATCATTTTTACTTTTCTTCTACCCATTTTTAATTTTTTTTCTTTTTTAATCTTTTATATCAATTAGTTTATTATATTTTTTTTTCTCTTACATATAGTTTTTCACATTTTCTTAATCTCTCCAATCAATTTTTTTTCAATCTTTTTAACCAATTTGATGAACATAAAATTAATTTTTTTTCTTATTTATCATTTTCTAAATATTTTACATAAAATTTAGTAGTAACTAATATTATTTTATTTATAATTTATATTTATTAGGTTTTATTATGTCATTTTTTTATCTTATTATTCTTATTTGTCATATATCAAATTTTATCTTAATAAAATAAGTATTTTAAAGGATTAAAAAGAATTGATAATTTAAACTTTTATTACTTATAACTAATTAAATAAGAAATAACTTATTAAATATTTCTTTCTAAACGATATATTTCATATTTTTAAATGATAACTTAAAACATAATCAAATGTTTG